CCCCCCCCCCCCCCCCCCCCAGGCCTTCGGCAACACCAGGACTTCCATGAATATCAGCAGAAATACAGCATTTCTTTGTAATGCTCACCCAAACTCAACTAACACATCAATAGAGCTATGGGAGACGTGGCCGTGAACTAATTGATTTTTTTATGAGGTTACGTCCATTTCAGAGAGGGCTAATAAAAGAGGCCGGGACATGGCTGACAGTGTGTGAGAGAAAGCCCTGAGGCGGACTCAGAGAGACGGCCTGGATCTTGTGACAGGGCTCACCAAACCCATTTAGAAACAGTTGGACTTGCCCTTTTCAACAGGGGTGATCAAAAACCACAAACGGTGAATCAGAGCTCCTGTTGGATACGCAGAAACTTTGAGCAATTACGATTCTAACATCATAAAAATGGTTTCTTTCAAACTCCTCACACTCAGTCGTGCTTGAAAAATAGTCAGAAGTTCAGAAATGCTGATACTCGCAGCTGCTCTTATTTCCGATTACAAATAAAGCCCTCCAAAGTGTCCATTTACACCAAAGCCTACCTGTCAATGCGCATTTCCCTCCGAGTAACGAAGTGCGTCCGCCTGCTCACAGAGAGGTCATGTTCTCCTGGACCAGGGAGAAAAAAATGCAGCCCCCAAAAATGAACACCCAGATAGTTTTCACTCGGTGAGACTCTGTGATCCGACTGGGCGCCGTCCCTCTGAACTCATCCACTCATCTCACCGGTTTCCTGTCTTCAATGGGGCCAGCACAGCCAAACCCAAAAGTCAGACCCAATCCGTTCCCATCTGTAGACACCCTTTGAGGCTCTTCTATAAAGAGGTGTTTCTTCTGAAGTGAGTGGCAGCTGAACGATCCAGTGGGAGTACGGGTTCTAACGGACAAGTCGGGGGGCTCTAAATATATTTCCCGGTGTGGGGAGTGGCCGAGTTGTCACCCTTCTGGTGATCTGACTCTTGACTTTGCGGATACAGTCGCGTCTCTCAGGGCCATAATGAGCCCCACTGTCTGGTGTGACCGACACATGAGCAACGCGAAGCAATTAATAGCAATAACCAAGTCGTGTGACTCCTCAATTGGGGTATATTTCCTCTGGAAACTCATCATTGCACTTCTCAGGTCAGAATCCTGTTGAGTGTCATGTTGCTCTGGCATTGACACACACACACACATACACACACACACACACACACACACACGCACACACCAACACACACACTAAACTGAGCTGCTTACACAAGGATTTGTCAACAGCTCACTTATATCCATGTGCTTCAGCTTGATTCATGTCCTTTTTTTATCTACGTTTGTTGTCGAGAATCGACCCGTGATCAGAAGCAGCCGTAAAAATCTGATGTACAGTTCTGTTCAAAAGTCATTGTCCACCCCCACCACATTTCCTTACATTTCTTTACCGTCTTGAGCCATGTTTTCCTAACTCATTGAAGGTGTTTTTGGACTTCCTGTGCCCGCCGTTCCCAGAGGAATGTTTTTTTCTTATGGTAAAATCCTGACCTCTTAGTCATTCAAACATTTAAAAAAAAAACGTGCAACCATGGCTGAAAACACAGTAAATGAGTACTTTTAGGTAATTACATTCCAAATAAGCTTGTCTAGGCCGGGGATTAGGATCATTTGAAACTCCTGTCAATGAATTGCTGTTATTATTTCTTGGGTGTGTACAAAGAAACAAGTGGAATTCAGGTATTTTACGCATCTCTGTTTGATATGAAAAATGACACAAGATAAATCAAATTATACTTTGTAGGTGGATCACTCTCTGAAATCACTTTCAAACCTGTAAAACCTCTGTGAGAAAACTTTTGGTTAAATGTGAGTGTGGCAACAATCATTGCGGTCTTGAGCCATGTTTTCCTGACTCATTGGATGTCTTTTTGGACTTCCTGTGCCCACCATTCCCAGAGGAATGTTTTTTTCTTACCTCCTAGTCATTCAAACATTAAAAAAATAAAAAATAAAATGTGCAATAATGGCTGTAAATACAGTAAATGTGTACTTTTAGTGCATTACATTACACATAAGCTTGTCTAGGCCGGGGATCAGGATAATTTGAAACTCCTGTCAATGATTTGCTGTTGTTATTTCTTAGGTGTGTACAAAGAAACAAGTGGAATTCAAGTATTTTACGCATTTCTGTTTGATATGAAAAATGACACAAGATGAATCAAATTATACTTTGTAGGGTGGTGGCTCACTCTCTGAATCATTTTCAAAGATATAAGAAACTTTTGGTTAAATGTGAGTGTGGCAACAATCCCTCCGCTGATCACCTGAGCTTTGGTATCAAACCAAACTCGTGTTGACGCGTTCCATAAAAAGCTAAGCGCCCCATTCCTCGGCCGGTCCAGCTGTCCTCGGGTCACTGACCTCCTCACACGGAGCAGCTATTGATAACCCCAAAAACTCGCCACTCGGGCCACTTAGGGACTTTCATCTGTTTGAGACGATTCCTCACAGGTGGCAGAACGGGGGAGTCTCTAAAGACCGTGGAGGTGTTGTTACGCCTGTGATGAGGTTTGATTCAGGTTTTTATCTTTTTTTTCCTTCTGAATTATTTCCAGTTCATTTTGAATTTCCAGACAATAAAGGAGACGTTTGTGTTCACGTATTGATTTTATTATATTCTGTTGTGCACAGACAATAAATAAACCCCCAGTGCAAAAATCAGTGCATTTAATAATAATGTTTTTAGATATCAGTCATAGAAGTCAGAGAAAAGTTTGAGATTCAAGATTCTCTTTTGTTTCAAGGTTGTTGGCTTGTCCATGTATAGAGATAATAAACCTAAAGAAAAGAAATAGTCCCTGTTAAGATTTACATATATACAATGCAGCATTGTCAACATATATTAGTGTGATATCTTACCAATTCTTAGAGTGAAAAAGGTAGATAACCCTCCAGCGGGTTAGGTTCAAGTCATACTAATTTAAATGATTAAATTGGGTTTAATACATTTGACAGTATAATGTATTAAGATTAATGAAAGTATCCACGATGTGAGAGCACTTTATAAGCACACTTTTCTGATGCAATCTTGATGATTTAGGACAATATCTGATTGAAGATCCCTTTCCAGATTTGATGTTCTGATATCCACATCAGGGGCTGGTGGGGGGGGGGGGGGCTCCAATTGAAGTGGATGAATAAATTTGGAGTGCAACAAATATGATGTGTCATGAGAAAGCCGGCCAGTTGGAATATGAGATATATTATCTTTAAGAGGCAGAACTTACAGCTATGTACAAAGTGCTGCTGTTTCCAGCGTTTTGGTGCTTTAAAACTTTTAGATTATGAGACCTGAACTGCTGGTGAGGGACTTTTTTTCTCCACCGAGGCACCAGTGGACAAACGAATGAATTTTTCTATTCTATTGCTGTGTTGTATTATATGCAGAGATGTATAAAGTACTGGAGTAGAGTGGAGTACTATGTAAAAAAATTGACTTGAGTAAAAGTAAGTGGAAGTACTCAATTCTTTCTTTACTTAAGTATAGCAAGTAGAAGTATTTCAAAAATTGCTATTCGAGTATTGAAATTAAATACAATTTCGCAATCTTTCGGGAGGCTTTTTTTTATAGGCTATGCTTGATCGCCCAATGAGGAGACTTGGGGATGATTCATTACGTTTACATATCAGTAACGAGTAACGATTCAGCCCGTGAAAGTAAAAGTAAAAGTATTAAATTAATCAAAATAAGTTGTGGAGTAAAAGAAAAAGTAGGGCAAAAAATATATACTCCAACAAAGTACAGATACTGCATTTTGGTACTTAAGTACAGTACTTAAGTAGTTCTACTTCGTTACTGCACATCTCTGATTATACGTGGACGTTAAAAAGCTGAATCCGAACACGTCCCCCTTGCGTTTCTTTTAGTACAAGCGAAGCTTCTGCTGGATCCAGGCCCCCAGGGACGAGTCCCCCGCGCCGTTCAGGTGTTTCCCGCAGGCCTTCCCCACCAGGAAAACCACCTCGGCGATGTTGAGCAGGATGCAGACCCCCGACACGGCCAGCATGAAGACGGTGAACACCGTCTTCTCCGTGGGCCTGGACACGAAGCAGTCCACCGTGTTGGGACAGGGGTACGAGTCGCACTTCACCAGCCGGATCATCTTGTAACCGGGGTAGATCATGTAGAACACGTACATGAACGTGACCTCGAACACGATGCGGAACAAAAGGCTGATCACGTAAGTCCACCACAGCGCGCCCGTGATCTTCATCTTCTGGGTCTTGATCTGCTCCAGGTCTTTGGGGTTGGTCCTGCCCGAGAGCTTGTAGAGCCTCTTGTCGACGTGGCGACGGTGGGCCACGTGCATAGCGACCAGCAGGGCGGGGGTGGAGACCAGGATGAGCTGCAGGGCCCACAGGCGGATGTGTGAGATGGGGAAGAAGTGGTCGTAGCACACACTGTTGCAGCCGGGCTGCTGCGTGTTGCAGGTGAAGCCCGACTTCTCGTCGCCCCAAACGCTCTCGGCCGCCACCACCAGCACCAGGATGCGGAAGATGAAGAGCACGGAGAGCCAGATGCGGCCGATGCCGGTCGAGTGGCGGTTCACGCCGCTGATGACGGCATAGAAGGACGCCCAGTTCATCTTCGGTTCCGGGTCTAAAGGAAAAAATAATAAATAAACGAATAAATAAAGGAGTTTTGGGTAATCAAGGGGGGCTTCTCACTAACAAAGCCTCCCTTGGCAAAGCAATTTTGCTCAGCATAGCACGGTACGCAGATTTCAGTTCTACTACCATAATGCTGAACAGGACAAGGTAAAAAAAAGAAAAAAAGAAAAAAAAAAAGAAAAAAGAAAAAGAAAGGGTCAAAATCCGGGAGAGAATTTTAAGTTATTTCACTTTTTAATCCTTAAAAAGCAAACTCAGACAGACAAAATGTCTATTTAGTAAACATAAATTGAGTGAATATGTGCATAAAACCAACTTTGGAATTTGAAAATGCAGAATAACTTTAATTCTTTTTGTTCTAATTTGTCGAAGTTACATGATTTATACAAGTTTAGTTTATAAATATAAATGCATATATATGCAAATATAATGCATCTATAAAAGATGCATTTTGTTCTGATTTTATGAATTTATTCACTAATAACTATTACTATATTATAAAGTACATCTTTACCTACATTATTAGATTGATAAATCATGTTGTTAAAGCAGGTTTTTATCAATACCTAAAAAAAACATCCAACCGTTACCCTCAAAAACTTGTATGAGTCCGTAAAAGGCAGAAATTGGTTCAAATACCAGTCAAAATGCGTTCAATTCAGATACATTATAAAGTCTTGGTGTTCAGAGCAGAGTTTTTCAAATGCTGATAAGTTATTTGATCTGTGAATTAACTATCCAACATACTATCACCGTGTGAAAAGTCAAAATTATTGGCACGTACTCGTCTGCCCACTGTTATCAGATATATCTGTTTGTGTACAAAAAGCTTTTGAGCAAAGTTTTTCCCACTAAATTATTCAAAAGGTCTCAGATACAAAACATTTCAGAAGCCGTGTGAATCAAATGTGGCATTTTAGGATTCAGTCCTTTAGGTCTTTTTCTCTTTTTTTTTTTTTTTGGTTAACCAAAATCTAATTCATACTGTTTTAAACTTTTCTATCAACAAAATATTAAAAGAAAATGCCAGAAATGAGTAAATTGTGACATTTTATTGCTCAAAATATTTCCAGATTGACTGTAGTAGCTACAGGTGCCGTAATCTATTTGAGAAGAGAGATGCTGCCAAATCCCAAATAGTCAAAACCCAAAAAATGAGAATACCAGTATAGATTCAAATTGAGACAGTAATCGCTGTCATACTGTACCTTTACAAATCAGGCAGCTTTGTCAAAGGAGCAGAAAATTTAGAAAGAAATTAACTTAATCTAAACGGCACGTTTGAAACTGAATCCGGTTATCCTGAGTACAGAACAAATTTTTTTCTTAAAGCAAATGTCTCTTATCTCCTCTCCCGCGGTCTGTGATTGATCCCTGACCTCATTACGTGTGCGTTTCCAGTGTGGCGGTAAATGTCAGAGTTGTTACCGGGCTCAGCTGGAGGTGTCAGAGGCATAGGAGGCAGCGGAGAAGACAGAGCTGACCCGCTGCTTTGGCATGGATGTGCGTCCAGAGGAGGAAGGAAGCCTCTCTGCCCCCCCCCCCCCCCCCCCCCCCCCCCCACCTCGCCACTTAAGGCTGCCACACTGGCACCATGTGTCATGTGACAAGCCTTCACCGCTCGTCATGGTCGGCCATCAGAGTCTGTGATACTCTCCAGGAAAATAATTTATGCTCCACAACAGACGTTCGACTAATAAAGGAGGGCTTTTCTTATCTTATCTGACAGCTATTTAAACTTTTAGATCAATCAAAACTGATAAGGGCAGCTAAATTAAAAGAGAATGACGACTGATTTTCAGCATGATGAATATTTCCTAGAGAATATGTCTTTAAAAAGGAGAATATTCCACCATAATATGTCTTTTATCTGTTTCCCTGTGTGAAGAGATGTGACGACAAAGCCACCCACAGACCAGAAATAACGGTTTCCCACAGAGGACCCAGCCCTTTGACGGCCACATGGCTCCTCAACGCCATCAGAAATGAGACGAGCTTACCTTCAGCTGCAGTTTGGACCAGAGCACATCCAGACACATTTGCGTTAGCAGATTTTTTTTTTTTGTTTTTTTGTTCAATCCGTGACTGTGAACAAGAGTATCAGAGCACCATGACTTTGCATTGCTAATGATTTCCCTCACACTAGCCACTGCCCTGCACTGAGGAGGTCATATGCTTCTCTGAAACGCATTAGCATACAATAGCCCCATTGACCCGGCCCAAACAAACAGCTTCAGAGCTCAGATCAAAACGTTTTCATTTCTCTGCCGGCTGAAGAATCTGTGTGGGGACTGCGGTCGGTCCTCTGGTCCTCATTGTGCTGTGTGCGCAGAGGAAGCTGAGGACGTTCTTGACGCAATGTGGAGTAAAACATAAAGGTCCAAAACAAAGAATGAGCCACTGAATCTAAAGATAAGAGGACAAGGCTTTATTATTGCAATAAGCAGTCTCTTGTGTAATTTTCCACCTTAACCTTTGCATCCTCTTTCTTGCTGCCCACCCAATATTTGACTCCTGACAACTGAGTGGCCAGAGAAATATTTGTTTGGTCGACTGAAGAACTTCTTTAATTCAACATAAGAGTCCTTAAATCTGTGTAACTCTGCTTTCGGACAACATTTCCTTTTCAGATTGACTCAGATGACAAGTAAAAACAAACTCCTACCAATAGGATTTGTCAAATTGCTTTCAATAGATAATAAGTAAAGTTTTTATTTTCATTTTGTGTCTAAATATTTACTTTTGTTACTGCAGATGCACTTTCCAACTGATTAAGACTGTTATCTAACATCAAGGTGTCTTTAACAAGAAAGAGACACGGACACAATATACAATGATAAATAAACTGTAGCATACAGTTGTTCAGTAGTTTGTTCAATTATGATGTATTTTTGAAAGAAACCAACTCTGACAGCAGTTACTTTGTCATTTACATTTCCAAAAACATTCCAATCTGAGCAAATATGACATCTGATCTATTTCCATTCAGAACTAAGATTGAACTGATTACAGTTCTTTCATCTGTGAAATACAACTTTCCTATCATGTGCCATTAGCAGGCCTCTCCAGAGCCTGACAACGTTTTAGGAGATTTATTTTAACCAGAATCAGGTGTGCAGAAGCTGGAGAACCTTTAAAACCAGCAGATCAGTGGCCAATGCAGACTTGGGTTTGAGTATCTCTGCCCTAAGGGGAAATTTTGGTACCTGATTCCTATGGGCCGACAGGATTTGGTATCTTATTATTTTTTATTTACGTGCAGGCAGATGTTTTACGGGCCCATCTGGATGCAAAAATCATACTCAAACTGCTCACAGACCGTTTGACTGACTGACCGTTTGACAGGGAAACCAGTGGACTCAAATGCAGATTATTTGTTTGTGTGTGTGTGTGTTTGCAGGCTGGATGCTGCCTCCTGCCTCCTGCTTCAACCCAGCCGGCAGGATGACACCTGGAGTTCATCCACAGTTACTGCAGTGCTAGTCTAATCTTAACCTGTAGGAATCTAATAAAAGGCAAAAGAGGAAAGTTTGATATTTCAGTCACAGATAAAGCACAAGAAAGAAACATTAACAAAAAATCACACTGCCTTTTTTAAATAGATTGACTAGCAAGTACTTCCAAAGTACCTTCTTGTTATGATGGTTTTAAAAAGAAGCACAGAGGCATTTCATGTCATTATTTTGCAAAAATCTTCTTCTTTCCGAGTAAATCGAACTGAAATTTAGCAGAAAGTTAAGATTTAGTTGATACAACTGGGGTTGTCCTACACAGTTGAGTGTGTAGTAACTTTAAACAGCATGCTCAAAACATCCCTAATATAATCACCTTTCTTTAATGGCCTTCCTCTGACATTTCCTCTCTGTAGGTGAGAGAAAGACTGCTGCTCACTTATGAATGCAGTAACACACCCTGTCATGTGCAGGTAGTCCAGGACCTGTTTTATGGTGT